GCCAAAACTTTATAATACGAACTTTTCTTTGAATAAAAAGAGGTAAGCGACCAAGTTCATTATAAATCATCAATGACGATGTATTTTTTCTCACTTTCAACATAATTTTGAGATATTCTAAATGTATTTTCTCTATAGCATCACCCCTATGGAATACCCATATTTCACTTGCATAATTCAAAATTCTACTTACATAAGTATCAAACAAAGACAGACGAGTAACATAATTAAAATGCACATTTTTCATAGACTTCAAAAGTTTAAACATACATTTCCTCCCCTGAGTAGCCAATTTTAACCGAGATTTATGAAAATTACCTGTGTATGTCAGAGTGAGACCAAGATAAGTAAACTGATTAAAAGCTTCAACTTCTTCATCATTATAAAACCATTTAATATTTGGATTCAATCGACCAGACTTTGAAATGACGAAAATGACGAATAGCATTGATTTACTGCGTTTAAACTTAAAACTAGTCATCAGAAGATATCTGCTTCAATTGCAAAACCACTTTTGAAAATTAGAATAAAAAACGAAAATTGTTGTTGGCATTTACACTAGATGATTACTCGTAGAAAAAATGAGCTTAAATTCTCTTTCTGGTAGAAAAACGTTTTTATAGTATGGCTAGAAAAAGAAATTCTATTCCAGGTGTGTTTACAAGTAAAATGTTTAGAAATATATGTGAAAAAAGGCTCACAATGTGTATCACATAAAACTGTCTTTCCGTATTAACACTTATTTATAACAAGAAAAAAAAAGAAAAAAGAAAATTATTGAGTACTAAGAATGTTTTTCTCTTTTAATTTTTCTGACATAATTTAATTTTAATAGCAGTATTAAAAACAGACAAAATTTAGGTATAAATACGTTCTATTTTTTAGCCCTGAAACTAGTTCATTCCGGTCAGAAAGAAGACAACAATTGTTATTAGAACACCTTTCACACCTGTTCTTTACCTTAAAATGTTTCGTAAACAGGAACATATTGCAGAGCAATTATTTTTATATTGTTCCTTAAATAAAATATCTGAAATTGTATCGACCAACGAGTAAACGGCTCGTATCGTGATAATCTATACAAATTTCAATGGTTGTCCAATGAATTCGTAAAAAAATATTAAATAAGAGGCCCATGGACTCACTTGAGAACTTGGACAAGAACAGAAGAAGAGAGTATTGACAAATTGAAATGTAAAATGATTTGTGGGAATGGGGAGATGATAATTTTAACAGATAGGCATTTACACTACTTTTGGATGCTTTCAAATAATTATGTGAAATCATGACTTTGCTTTTCTTCTTCAGAACATTTCAACTGAAATATCTTTTACCTTCCTTATTTATGTACATTGTATAAAAACTATCCCTTGTTCTGACCCCTCCATACTGCCAGCGAGGGTTTAATTAACTTGATTTGAATAAAATGAATTTACATAATTTACCTTAAAATGCTTGATTATTATTACAACTAATTATGGCTTAGCTGACCTTGAGAAAAGGAACTTTAGGATATTTCTTTTGTATTTCCATGTTCAACATAGATTGATTACTGTGGTCTCACCCTACCCCGGGGTTATAATTTGAATATTTGATTTTATTCTAACTGAGAATGCTTTCATTACAAATACTCATCATGGCTTTGCTACTCCTATGTGGAAATTGAATCACTCACAGGGACCCCAACATAAAATAGTGGTCATGATTTGAACAAACCCGAATCTGAACTACTGTGGTTTCATCAATATTCGTTGAGCACCAATTTTCGAGGATTTCGTTTGTGAGCAGATCCACGAATTTGAATGTTCTTTGAATTAAGAAAATGATATTCATTTGTATAGGCAAATTTCTGGGATTTGAATTTTTTTTGACTTAGGTGGAACCCCCCCCCCCCCCCCCCCCCCCGGAAAAAAAATTTCTCCAAGGGAAAGTTTCGAGATTAGTTGGTCGCCACTCCCTGAAGTTCTTATCATAATATATTGCTGCCTCATCCCCTACCTGATTCCCTAATTTTTGCACCATATCCCCATATTTCATTAATGCTGACGCTTCCTGTGGGAACTTTTCTGTATAAATACCCACGAAAACAAAGAAAGCCTGGACCCATTGGGTAATTGCTCTAATTTCTAACCCTAGTTAATATTCAATGATTTAGTACAATTATAGGGTATATCTTTTATCTTAATTTTTTTGATTTTCTCAAGTTAAATAATCAAGAAAAACGTTTATATGCATTCGAAGTGTTTTTTTATTATTGTCAGTAACAATAAATATTGCTAAACTAGGTATTATTTTATTAAATGTTTAATTATTTATTTATTAAGATAATATAATGGTTTATATATACTAGACTTGATTTCTTTGTAAAGATTACTCACGCATGAATTGAAAACTACTTAATATGCTCATCTATTTGATATGGTGTATGTCGACCTTATTTGAATTGGTATTGATAACAAAATTTGAATTCATCTCATTTTTAAGCGTTAAAAATGTAATTTTATGTAGCCGTCAATTGCGAGAGATATGAAAACGCCTTGATTTTCCAAGTCTCTCCTATTATTACTGGTAATTTCATTTTCTGGATAAATAAAACATTTATCTAATATTTTGCTATAATAACTTATTTTAAATGCGTGGTATTTGTTTTTTTAACAATCAAAACCACAGTCATAATTACCACATATTTTTATGACATGAACGCAGCAACGGGGGGGGGGGGGGGGGGGGGGGGGGTCGTTTACAACAGTAAATAACGCGACCTTTCCTGAATTGAGAGAAAATAGATTGTAAATTTTGCGAAAATTTAAATACATCGTACATACATGTATTACATACATGTATTAACCATTTAAAAGTGTTGAAGAGAAATTTATACATTCAACAAATTAATTCCAAACAAATACACTGTATACTTGATATAATATAAAGGTAATTTATTATAAATCTACATGTACTAAGTCTCGTGTTCTCCTTTTTTTCTTTTCTTCTTTTTAGTTTTTTTTTTTTCGGTTTTCTTCTTTTTTTGGTAACATGTTAATTACAGTGTTATGAATATTGCAGTAAATGGATAATTATATTTAGGAAGATTTGTATAGAAAACGGAAAGATTTCAACTGTCATATCAACAAAACGGTAACATATGCAAAGAAATTATTGCATCTCAGATCAGAAAACAATGATTTTTACATATGATCTGACTAAAAAGAACTCTAGTTTCTTACTTAATCGAAATCAGAGTTAAACATTAAATACATATACATGGTTACGAATTGAATACTTAAATAAATTTGACATTTGGCACTAATTATAAATCAGGCTAAGGATTATTTCCTCATGAACGATAAAATTAAATTTCGTTTCTTAAAACTATTAAAAGATTAAATGTCTAAATAATAAGTATGCAAAACATTTTAAAATTGACTTAAAAGCAGAGAATCCATGCATAACATCAGGTTAACATTAAGTTTAGTTTTAAAACAGGATCATGGCTGCTTAATGTAAAAGAAAAATAATTAATGAATATAGAAACATGAAACTAGAAAAGCTAAATTTTATCATTAATACCAAGTCATACGTATAACTCGTTTATTATAAAGAGAATTATTAACCAGCAGAAACACGTATGTGATTAAAATAAGAAAATGAAATTTTAATGTATTTAAATCGTTTGCATTGAAACAAAATTTAATCCTTTTCTGCTTAGTTAAGCAATGAAAGATCGTGCTTCTCGATGATGGACAAAAAAAGATAATCTGAGAACAAGCGCATAGTAGACTTAAGTACATATATAATCAAACAACTGTATAATTAATTAACTATATAACTCTTTCATTAGTTTTTCAGCTCTCTTTAATTAAAGTTGTTTTTGATATTTATATGACAAAATATATTGCAAAACTAAATTACAATTTTACTACACCTTATATTCAGGTGCATGATAATGTAACAATACCCATCCCCATTCTCTATCCAGAGTTGTCGTTCCCGCTACGCTCCCACATACACCTCTGTGAACGCTAGTTTTACAAGATTCTTGGAAAAATTGTAAATGATTAAAAATTGTATTAATAGTCGTTTAATATAATTATATTTTTTTATCGGAAAACAATATTTATTTTAATTTGTTACACTTTAAAAGGATTTTTTCATGAAGATTTTAATTTTACTCCGCACAAATAGTTCCCTTAAAACTATGAAAATAAGTCGTTTTCAGTAATAGTAAGGAAAATTCAATGCGTGTTTTTATTTGAAAGGTCTAGTCCAACAGGATGTTCAACAGTTGCGGTACATGTTCGATGCAGAAATACTTTTAATATATAGCCTCAATTCGATAATTTTCGAAAATACTGGAGTGTGACGCCTTAACATCTATTCATTTTAATAAGCAAATACATATTCTGACAATCCATTTATATTTGGTGTTCGTATTGCAAACGTGTATCTTCAAAAGCTGATACACATGTATGCATTACAGTCTTAATATGGGGAAAAAACGTCATGGATTGAATAGTGTGAGAGCTGGTACTATGACAGGAATATTGTGAAAAGGATTAGTTCTCAAGCTAAAATTTTCATAGAAATGAATATTTATTGCAACATAATTCTGGACCGCTAAACATCAAAGACGTTATCAAGTACCATGGAGGAGTAAGTTTCCCGTATTGTCCTTCACACCCGGCGTGATCTCCATATCAAGGATTTTTCAATTTGTTTGAAAAACTTCAGCAACACCAGTTCACTTAGAATCGACATTAAACTTTGAAATGTCTTTTTTTTATCTGTTGTTAATAGACACAGAGACTTGTTTAAAGATCAGTTCGAGGCGAAAAAATATTCACCATGACGAGGCTCTCGTGGAAATTTTTTGCATGCGAAATAAAAGTTGGTTTGCAGTATTATAGTCTAAATACCGATATAATGCAAACATTGTATTCAATTGAAATATTGTTGAGATTCAGGCACTTTATACATATATTTATCATCAATCTTTAAAATCTCCTTTTCTTGAATCGTAAACACATTGAAATATCGATATTCATCTTAAGTTTTTAAGAAATTAAAACATCTTATTCACGTCATGTTTGTTCAAAAGGTTCTTGAAGTTCATAAAAAGATTTTTCTGCATCTGGAATGTCCACTGCCATACACACGTCATAATTCACAGGTTGTTTTGCTGCATTCTGTGTGAAATTAACAGGATCATAGTTGGTTTCTAAGATGACATCTGTTTCACCTTTCTCATTAAGGTGGCTGTAGCTGGTTTGATCGAAATCGGAATGATTCCGTTGACTTTCTCTGCGGAGTGATTCCGGGTTAAGAATTCCTTTTGGAAATTCCTCCCATTTGCGGTTCTTGAATCATATAAAATTTCATTTAATCGAGGTAAACAAAAAACTGAATCATACGTTGATTACACAAGCAAAGGACGTATATAAAATGTTAGTAGTTAAATTTAAAATTTCTTACCGAATCGATACATTCAACTGGATCACAGTAAACGGCGTCAGAATAATTCCTGTGTCTTTCATTGGACGGTTGATTAGAATTTCTTTTGATAGGAAATATAACAATGTATCTCTTTTGGCATTTTTTATGCACAGGGACATATGATTTACATAAGAAGGTTGTATATAGTGATGACAAAATGGAACGTTTCATCCTACATTTATTTTCTTAAAAAGGGAATATATTTGGTGAATATTTTCAATCAACAACAGTTGGAAGAAAATGAAGGAATACAAAAACCTGACATGACTAGAAAAGAAGTGTTTACAAAATAATGCATCATTTACCAGGCGTATACGTTTACATCTTCTAAGAATAAAAAACGAATTATGTTCTAATTTTTCAAGCAAATAACAATAGTTAACTTACTCTCGATTAACATTTGGCCTCCCTCTCTTGTTATAAACAGCAAATAAAATTGTAGTAAGTGTTGCTCCGACAAATAGGCCGCTGATTCCTGATCCAAACACTTAGATACCGTAATGAAAAAAATAAAAATAAATGAAAAAGGATTAAACCTCCTTAACGCTGAATCTTTACATTAATACAGATTTGGCTCTATTATTTGTTTATATTTTGTATATATAGAAATTATCATTTTTTTGTCAAAAAATAAGATAATGAGTAGTTTGTCTTCTTGGTGTAAAAAGCAGAAATTAAAAAATACACTATTGGGTACCGCAAACATCAACAATTCACCCGATAATGTAGTAGCTGTATTTCATTTCCGGAAATATGCATAGCATTTCCGACATTTTTTAATTTCATTTCCGACATAATTTTGTTTTCATTTCCGGAATTTACCTGTGCGGTAATTCAATATTTTCTAAGTAAGTGAAAATGGAATTTTAAGAGTATTTAGTACAAAATATTCATAATCTTTTTTTAAATCTACACATTATGCATACATGTAGCACTAAGTCTAGGTTAAAGAATTCAATGAGCATAAACTTTTTCACCACTAAAGTGCACTAAATTAAATGTCAATGACAGTACCACACCTATGTCCAAGTCATTGATGGATTAAAAAAACTCAAATTATAGATTTCAATTAATATTTATTTATGAATTTTTTCTTTATAAAATTGTCATAACTAAAGTATTCAGATCTGTTACTAAAAGTTCTACATACGTATTTGAAAAATGTCGGAAATGAAAACCAAAAAATGTCGGAAATGAAAATTAAAAAATGTCGGAAATGAAAAGTTGATAATTTCCAAAATTTCCGGAAATGAAATGCAGCCAATGTAGCCTGCCGGGTTGACACAGTCGTGCTATCGACACAATTAGTAAACAATTATGTTAATTGCACTACCTCCAGTATCGGGTTTTAACGACAGAGTACTTTATTTTTATAAATCTACGAACGATGAAGTGACCTTAATAAAGTTGGATTGAATTGTATTACAAATCTTCACAATTACAATGCCTGTACCCTGTGATGGTTTATTTTAATTTTTTTTCAAAACAGTTAATATACTTATATGGATTAAATATGCATAATTCTGCTTTTCAGATGTCATGCTTGTCATAGATCTTGAAAAAATAATTGCGAAATTGTCAGCAATTCTTCATAGTAAACAATTATTTTACTGGCACTATCACCAGTATCAGATCTAAAAGAATATAACGTTTTGGCAGCGAACTATTTAAGCGTAATGAAAGAAACGACGATGGTGACCTTATTACTAAAAATGGATCTTATTACAGTGTATATAAGAAGTTTTAACAATTACAATGCTTGTACCCAGTGATAAATTAGATCCTTCTGTACTGACTTTGTCGAAGCTACATTTGTTTCCAGGGGCTGGTGTGGTCTCTACAGGGATTTCATGCATTCCACGAACAGATTCTGTTGATTCAGCTATAACTGTAAAAACATCAAGGTTGCCTTCTTCTAAACATGGTTTAGGCACTGTCGTCTTTTCTTGTTGACCCCTGTCGACGGATGTCATAATTGCTTAAAATGGAAAGAAATCTTTTATAGTTATTTTCAATTTATTTTAAATTTACAACCATGATACTAGTCATGTCAACGTTTACGTATAGACCTAAATCTTTATTTTCAAAACAAATTTAAATACTTTACAAACAAACTATCACTTTATCTTACATAAATAAAATTGCTTTCTTATTTTATTTCTTTTTAAAATATTGAGGGAGTGTCTTTTAGGTTTATTAGTCAGATGATGGTTTTTATTAGATTTGCATCCTCAAAGAATGGGTTTATTTAAATAAAAAAAGGTTATATCATGAATGAATTCATGATAAATCAAATAAAATATTTTTGTAGAAAGATATACCCCATTTTTTATCGTTGATATCAAACCATTTGAAATTTAAATTTTGAAAAAAAGATCACAATCAATTATCAAACCAAGGGAAGCTGCGATGAATAAGTTATGTAAAATAACTTCAATAAATCATTAAAGTTGATTAATCATGTCACAAGTCTACTCTGGGGCAATACGTAATATTGCGACTACCAATGAGTACCTCGCAGTTATCTAACTTACTACCGCTCTTTCGCGGGGGAGTCGAGAAAAGTCTAAATTTCTGGGGGCAAATGACACTGTTTACAGTAGTGACAATCGAATGATTCGAACAATTTAATGCCGAAATCACGATGTTTTGCCAGATATTGAACTCCAAATAGTAGATTGTCAAATAAGGAAAGTTTAGAATATTTTATCTGCTTAAAAATATGACGATTATCAATGAAAATTTAACGAAAAGAGTCAGCTTAATTAAAAATATCGTTAAAAATGTGACAAATTAGGATTGGCTCCTCTCAAAAATATATTAGGCTGGTTCAGCGATTGTTTAGCGATGTATTCCACCAGGATTTTTTACTTATCTGTCCTTATAAATGCTACAATGATCGATCTTGCATTGTATTGAATAACACATTGCCCCCACCCAACAGACGATTTCTACCTCCTTCGCCAAAGAGTTCCGCTAAGTTAAGTAATCGCGATATCAAGTATTCCTTTCTACTTTATCTGAATTTAAACTATAAGTACATGTAAAACACTTAGATTGTCTACACGGGGCATCTTTTCATCAGTTATATCCATTTTTATATTTCCTACTGAGAAGAAAATCCTTATATACAGGCTAATTCAAAGAATATGTGACCAATGCTTAAGGAAAAAAAAAAGAATACCATACAAGGAACTAGGAATATGAGAGGGTGCACTTTAAGAAGGGTCTATGGGGCAACAGGGAGTTATGGTTTGAAAATTATAAACACACCTTTGATCTTTTGACTTCAAAATCAGTAGGGTTCTTTCTTGGGTCATAGAGAGAAGTAGTGGAAAATTTCACTGCAAAAGCTCAGAGTCTTCTCAAGTTATCGCGCAGAAACGCAAGTTTTAAAACAGATATATATTATTTGAGACCTTGACATTTGACCTTTTGACCTCAAAATTAAAAGCGATCGCTCTTATCCCCATGGGGAATTGTAAAGTAATATTTCATTGCAAAAGAGATATCTCGCGGAATCGAAAATACTCGAATAACAGACAGACAGAATAAATTATTATTCCCTACTTTCAGTTTAAACGGGGAACAAAATGCAATGTAACAAATTAAATATTAACTACATTCAAACATGTGTACTGTGTATTGTAATTGATTGATTGATTGATTGTATATTGTTTAACGTCCCTCTCGAGAATTTTTCACGCATATGGAGACGTCACCGTATGCCGGTGAAGGGCTTCAAATTTTGACCTTTACTCGGCACTCAGAGCCATTGAGCAGTGAGGGATCTTTATCGTGCCAACGCCTGCCGCTGACACGGGGCCTCGGTTTTTAAGGTCTCATCCGAAGGACCCGCAACTTTCACTTCAAAGTGACGAGCGCATGGCGAAGGAACATTTGCTACCAATTTTAACGACTAGGTCAGTCGCGGCCGAGATACGAACTCACGACCTCCCGATCACGGAGCGAGCGCTCTACCGACTGAGCTACCGTGAACGGTACTGTGTATTGTAAGTAATTATATTCAAATGTATTTTTAGAGAGATTTATAATTATAATCTTTGAAATTAATTAATGATAAATCAAGTTAAATAATTGTATATGTATAGAAAAATAAACCCCGACATTTATTTTCTGATGTCATTGTTGAAATTTAAATTCTGAAAAAAAGATCACAATCAATTATCAAACCAAGGGAAGCTTGATGAAAAAGTTACTGTAGATCACTTAATTTTTAACACTTTATTTTCGCATGTTAAAAAGTCATTGACTCTTGATTAACCAAAATTTTCACGAATTGAGGTTATTGCTCTATATAATCTTAAGGACTTCTTTTTTACGCGAGAATTAAATTTTCGCGAGCACACTGTCTCGCGTAATTACGCGAAAATAAAGTTCTCGCGAATAAAAAGTGATTTACAGTATGTAAAAGCAATTTCAATAATTTACTATAGTTGGTCTTGCATGTCCGAATAAAAATTACTCTTACAGCAATTCTTTCATACTTTATTTGAATTTAATCTATAAATACATACACAACACATAGATTTTCTACTTTAAAAAAAATTTTTATCAGTCTTATCCATTTTTATGTTTTGTTTAAAAGAAAATTCTTATTTACAGGCTAATTCAAAGAATATGTGTCCAATACTAATGGGAAACAAGAAGAACATTCAAGGCAGTAGGGGTGAGAGGGTGCACTTAAAGGGGAGGGATTTAAACAGAACAGTATTCGTTTTACTGTTTTCCATCAAAACTAACAGGTTTCTTTCTTAGGGCATAGAGAGATGTGGTAAAAATAATTTACTGCAAGTGATAAACGTCATCTTATTAAGTTATCGTACGGAAACAAAAGTTTTAAAACAGACATATATTATTTATGACATTTGACATTTGACCTCTTGACCACAAAATCTACAGAATTCATCATTATTCATTATCCCGTGGAAAATTGTTAAGAAAAAAATTCCTTACAAAGATCAAAATTTTCTCGAGATATCTTGCGGAAACAAATATATTACAGACAGACGGACAGACAGCCTTTAATACATGTATTATTCCTTTTTTTTAGTTTATACGGGGACAATTAAAAGCAATTTAACAAACTACATATTTACTACATGTGTACTGTGTGCGATAGTTATAATCATATTCAAATGTTAATTTCTATGAATTTATCTTAAATGTAACTCATACATATGCAAGAATAATTTTTCTCGACGAATTTCATATTGCAGCTACACCAATGATGAGTGGAATTTCCGAGACATAGATTTGCGTGAGGTGTTTTAGTGCATTGTTGGTGGTATTGACAGGCTGATCCAAGTGCTTTTCTTGCTATTAATAAGAAAAAAACCCATATAATTTGATACCTGTAAATCATGGTGTAAAAATTATCATATTAATGCATTCAACGAGTATCATGGTCTACAAATTAAAGCCAACATTAGATGAAACGAGATGCTTTCTTGTTATTTTTTGATTTGATTAAATTTGAATCTAATATCAGTATAGTCTTTTGAATACTTTCTGAGTATTACACGTACCTTCTATACAGACGTTTTCAATTTGAACATATCCTGCTTGACAGGAACATGTTTTGTTGTAACACGTCTGATTTTGTCCACATTCCATGTCAACAGAACAAACTTCACCGGGATTTAGTGTTCCTGTTTATAAGAAAAAGTTGTAAAAATAAATCATGCGTGCTGGGGTTATTATATATATATATATATATATATATATATATATATATATATATATATATATATATATATATATATATATATATATATATATATATATATATATAACATATGTTGTTTTTTGAGACTTCATCTTTCAAAGTACTTTTGGAATTCTAATTTTTTTTTGAATTTTTTTTACAGATTTTTTCTGTTTGTTTTTTTTGATTTCTTAAAAAAAGTCATTTGTAATTATATGGCTGTTGATTTGCATGAAGCAGATTTACTTTAAAGCAAAACTATCTCTCTATTAAGAAGAATATCTGTATATATCGAAGCATTCTAGAACTAAATAAATATATTACAGAAAATTAAAAAATATATCCATGTCAGTTTCTAGATATCATATCATAGGGGAATACTTGTCAAAATCTAGGTAAAATAGAATTGCACTTAATAAACATAAGCAGCACCTTTCATGCAAAATCCATACGATTCAGAAAATCCAATAGCACATGTGCATCGATTACTAAGGCACTGTGTGTTCATTTGACCGCAGTTCTCACTATTCTCACATTGTCCCCCAAGAAAAACATTTACTACAAGAAATGTAAAACTATATGAATAACATTTCATCGTTTTTGGTAATATAATCCACTTTTCAAAATTGAATTTTACTTAGTATTTTTTTGTTCGGAAGTTTATACCTTTGGTGCATTTTCGTCGACTATTGTCAACACGGTGACCTTCTTTACACACGCAGCGTCCATAAGCTTTCTCGATACTACAGACAGCATTTTCTGTGTCGCAGTTGTCATCAGCTAGGCAAAGTCTGCCCCAGGAAGCTAAAGCAAATTTGTTCATTAAAACTTTTAATATTAAGAGAAATTCAGCACAAGGTAGTTAAGGTTTTATTGATTCCTAATTTAATTACAGTAACTGTTCATGGCATCCTTTATACATTAAACAAAATTAAATAAAATTCATGTTACATAACTGATTATAATTAAAATATTTTTTAATGATTAAATTGTACCTGTAGCAGATATATTGCATTCCAGATATATATTCAGCTGATTCTCCTTCGAGGAACAATACTGAATGACACGTCGTAATGTTGAGGACGACATCTGCCTGTATATATGGAGTGTAAGAATCGGCTGTTCTCTTCTTATTTCCGTGCTTTTTGTCTCACTTACTTTGCATTCATCATTTCTATTTTCTGGTGCTTTTTATAGCAACAATATCATCTTATTAATAGTCTTGTTTTTTCAAAAAATATTATATTAACCAATACGGTTTAAAATGTACATTTAAAAGCAACTTATTTTGTAAATTACTTCTTTTGTATAAATCACTTAATTGATCATGATATATAGACAAAGTAATAAACCTGTAATAGACTGTTGAAGATCAGCCATTTTGTTATCCTTACATTGGATATTATCCCAAATACGTACAGCATCTGTCTGGGAGATGGATCTGAAGATAAAAATTATTTTGAAACAAAAAATCAAAATAATGCCAATGTTAAGTATATTATTGTTATTATCATCTTTATTCAGGCAGAGAATCACACATTTTTTAAATCAGTCTTTGCCTACGACAACCCATGAAAGCAATATATTAAACTTGATTATTTCCAATGGGGTCTCAAATACTTTTATTATACCTCTACTGATTTTCTCCTATATAAAATTAAGTGATTAGATCCGAACAATTCCCTAGAAATCCCTGTGAATCGACTAATCGCCGTGTGTTAGTTTTTTGAGCTAATCCTTCGAAAGCTAGTCATGCTAATTCGCGGTTATAGAATTTCATTGTGACGTCATAATTGAGCGACGCATAAACATAATGCCTGGTGACGTATTGCATATAACAAAACGCAACAAAATAAGACGTAAACAACAAAATGCAATGATTGCATTAGAATAAGGGAATAACTGTCTTCTTATTTGGTATTTGCGACAAATTATGATTAGTTAATCTGTAAATGAACATTTTTTTTTAAAAAAAGGTGATCTCTACAATTTAGATTTGTATCGGTATAATAAAACAGTTAAAATATATCATTGAGGGAGTTAGCAAGATTCCAGTTCCACAAGATCAGGACTATTTCCCGAGGCGCAGCGCGTATAGTATCCAAAAATTACATATACATTTAAAAAAAAATTATTTGAATAAATAAAACAATATGCTATTTACAGATTCAAAAAAAAGGTTTGTAATGATTTGTGACAAATGATATCGTTGCCTCTAAATAATCTTAAAAATGAGTTGCTTAGAAAATGTGCAATCAAAACAATAACAATCACAGTTTAATCAGAGAAAAGTAGATCTGTAGCTGAATACGAAAATTATCATAATTCACGCTCAATTCACGTATTATTCACGCGAAAATACTGGATTACTTTCAAGAAAATATATTAATAATTGATTATTCCATTTCAAAAATATCATAAGGTACTGTTAAATGCATTTTCTTAAAAAGAATAAAACAAAATGCAAACAAAAACACAATACATAGAAATCTTTGAGAAAATTGCAGGAATGAGAAAATTGCAAATGTATCATTCAAAGAAATTTTATTTTAAAATTCAATTATTAATTGAAAAAAAGATATAGTCATCAAATTTCCATGATTTTGCATCATGATTAGAAGTATTAAAGAAGAAAATCAAAAGAGTAAGCGAACATAAATTGTGATTTTTTATTTTTGTTATAGTTACCTGTTTAAATAGGCCATGGTTGTGTATATGTCCATCGAAAAAGTTATAATAAACGTCAGAACAAATGGAAGAACATTCGCTGAAATCAAATCTCAATTGAAAACAGAATGTCAATCCTATCATAAGTAAATTTAACATTAGGAGATACAATATATACACATTAATTTAAAATTTACCTGGATTTTTAAAATAAAAAATGTATATGTTTGTCGTGTGATATATAATGAAAATTATAGTTTTATCTTCGGCACACAATGTAAATGGAGTAGTCATTCTCCAATACATAGGTACATAATGAATAATATTTTTATTCGTTAATATTTGAACAGATTCAAGTTTATTTGCATTTAAGAAACTTCTCAATTAGAGAAATTTTCTCAATTTCGCACACATCGGTAAATCTTCAAAAACTTCGCCATTGATTTGACCTATATAAGTTTTGAATTATTAGATTTCATTAGTGTGCAAATTTCGTGGAATTTGTGTGAAACACATTCATGAATTCAGTCACCTTGAATTAATGAATAGCGGTATTAGAGAATGCACAAAGTTCATTCCCACGAATCTGTAAATTTTCTGTTATCCGCTACAATTAACCCAAACGAATTTGAATGATTCTTAAGTTAGATATTCGAGATATTTCAAAAATACTTTCCTGAGTCATGCAACATCTCATATTATCAGAATTGCAAAAATACGATGGGAAGTGAAACAAATTTTGCGGACTTTTGATTGATTGAGTGTATACTGTTTAACATCCCTCTCCAGAATATATCACTGATATAGAGACGTCACCTTTGCCGATGAAGGGCTGCAAATTTAATATAGGCCTATGTTCGGCACTTACGGCCTTTGAGCAGGGAGGGATCTTTATCGTGCAACACCTGCTGTGACACGGGACCTCGATTTATACGGTCTCATCCGAAGGACCGCCCCATTTAGTCGCCTTTTACGACAAGCAAGGGGGTTCTGAGGACCTTTTCTAACCCGGATCCCAACGGGAAGCGTATTTTTGAATGTTACAGAATAATTTTAATTTAATTTGTGATTATCAAAATTCAGTTCATTCGAAAATTGACCTCAAACCCCTCTACCACCCCCTAAAATATGATGCATATACAGCTTAGTACTACAAATGTGTTTCATTTTCTAAATATTTACATTTATTAATTCATTTTATTAAAATGTTTGGAAAAATCATTATAAAATGTACTTACACAAAACTATTTTAGAAATCATCTTCTCATTTGATAAAAAAGTATCATCTGTAGAGCGTGAAAGCTAAACCATCATGATATAAATAAAAATTACACTTAGATCAGGAAGTGCAATTCTTTCTGCATGTACTTATTCTTTTCCCCTATCTACTTAGCTTAATTCCTGTTTAACTAAGATACAAATGATCATAAATTGACATTCATGAGACATGGATCTGAATCTGTTAAATAATTAAACCTTACAAAAATTAACTTTTGCAAAATAAGCAAGTTATGAAAAAGTGTATTAGTGTAACAGTTCAAAATTTTAAACGATTTAATAGTTGAAAAACATTCATTTTTTAAATATTTATATTCTTTTATTCAGGTGTTTAAATGCAAGCCATGGGGCATCAAGTGGATGAATAATCTTTGATCATTTTATCAAGAAACACAACGTGTAGTTTTATTAAATTTAATTTAGTCAAGGGCTTTCTATATACATAAAAAATGTATAAATGAGGCAGGTGAATGTGTTATAATGTAAAACAAATATTATTTTATATTGTAAAATCACAGAGAAGTTTGCTGAAACTTTGATTCTATAAAATTGATATAAATTCATTTCAGAAAAAAGTAAAGATATACGTATGCATTAAAAGAACACATTTCTATGAAAGATCACAAGATAAATTCATGTAAAAAGAACTACACAACAGATAATGATCAAAGAGCAATATACTCAATGTATTATTAATATCAGTCAAATATATATCTAAAACAAAATATAATTATATTCCCGTATTTTCAGTTTATATCATTTACAATTTTGCCCTTGAATAAATTTTATCTTCCGCCTTGCAATTGAAAAGTGTTTGATAAAACATAAAAATAACTTTTCCATTATGAAAAGGAAGATACAGACTGGTACTAAATACAGTCTTATCATAAGTACATATCGCATTACTTCCTCATTTTAATGAGTTGCTAAGTAAAGTTAAATAATGCATTATTACTTTAAAGTTTATTTTTTACAGTGAAAATTCGTGAAGTATCAAATAAAAAATGTTAATTGTGTATTTAAATTTCGTTGTTTCTTCTGGTTGTTCAGCTATTACACTTTCACACATTGTATATGTTTTGTCAGTTATTCTTAAGGTCGAATGTCCATTTAGACAAAAAACTATATAAAGGTTATTAGGAGAGCACAGGCTGATTTCTTTTTTAAAAAAAGCATATATAGTTTCTTGTTCCATTAAATATTCCGTGCTGACCTGTCGAATCCGCTGTGTGCTCCTTGTCATTTAACACAGAGAAATCCGATAAAAATATGACTTAACAATTTCTATGACCATTAGCTGACAATGTCATTGTACATGTGTAGATCAAAGACTTCTAACAAGACTTTTGGTATTTTTGTTTCATCAGTTCTTTGTCAGTGTCTTGTCTCTTTTTCAAAATCGTACGTAGAGTAATGTATCTTATGTATTCAGTCAAAAAGAGACTTGAAACTACTTAATGCAGGTGATAAGGGTATATTGTTAAATAAGCAAGGAAAGTTGACGAAGAAAAAGTACATTTATCATAAAACTTAGTTGTTAAATGAAAATAAAAAGTAAATAAAAAACCAAGGGTTACCAAAAATGCGTTGATTGAAGAGACAACATTTATAATGTGTCGTCGTTTCTTACAAAATTTGTGAAGATCATAAAACTACAATTTTTCAGAAATCGGAAATTTTAGTATCATCTTGCTACGTTGATGTTCTGCATGATGATTTTAAGATAAAAAAAAACAACTCTATAATAATAATCTACCAGTGCTGATATCGAATAGTTTTATGACGCCAGTTCATATACTTTCTATGGCATTAACAGCTGTTTTAATGCATATAATAATATTGAAATTAAATGGATATCTATTTGTGTTAATCACTTCCCCGAATCAACGAAATTTTTCTCTGTTATATTCAGAGTACATGAAACAGTTTTAAATTTAGGCCAGAAGTCTTTGGAAATCATTCGTACAAAAAAGGTCTGGCTATGAAATAATAGATATGTTAATAACGGCACAAAGTTTAATTATCCCTGAGAATTTTGACAGAATGTTGAAAGACAAGTGCTTAGATTTACTGAAGATCGTAAATTTTTACGTTAACGTTAATGTAGTCTTTACGACTGAATTTCATGCTACATCTTAAGGTAAAGTCAAAATATTTATGCTGTATTAAAATATTGTCTAAGTCAGGCAAACACAAATTGAATATCTTTCAATATTGCAAGCGTGTGGTATACTGCAAATTTAGAAGAGTGATTAAATATTTGATATGCATGTGACAGCTGATTGAAAGTCCGACCTAAGTTTAAATCTGTTTCATGATCAAAGGGCCTAGTCTCTAAAAAGAACATAGATTGTCAATCAGATACAAGTACTCTAGCATCTGCATATTTACAATATCACATTCGGCATACTTGGAATTACAATTAGAATTTGTTGTTGTTGTTGTTGTTTTTTAAAAATGTTGCAAGTGACAACAATTGTAAGAAAAGTAAAATTTAATAAACAAATTTCATTTGTTTTTCTTTTTAAAACTTGCGTCTTTTTTAAATCTAGAAGAGGTGTGTAATTCAAAAAGAAATTTGATTGTAGTGAATGTTAAATATTTGAAATTGTAACAGGATTTTGAAGTATTTTCCCTTTGTAAAGATTGATCGATTGTTTTTATATTATTTTACGCCGAGTCGACAATATTTCAACCATATTTGGTGGGCAAGTTTGTTTCTTGACCGGTTAAAGAAGCTGTGGATAAATTTTAATAAAAAAGAGTAAGGATACATTGTAAGACGAAGCATGATAAATTACACCAATAGGATTGCATGAAGAATATCAATCTGTACTAAAACATTATCTCCAATGTGTTCTTATCGTGACTGGTATAGTATTGTCGCTTCTCAATGGATCTAATCCAACCTCTGATTTTTTGGTGGTCCTTGTCATCTTCACCCCTTTTATGTAATATTTAATGGACTTTAGAGCTCGGATACTATTCGTTATCTCCTCAAAAATATTCTTTATTATTGTTAGAAACATTGCTCTTCATGGATAAAAAGTAAATATCATATACATTTAATATATATTGTAGAAAGAAACACATATGTAATCCATTTTAACACACTTCTTATAAAACACATAAACACAAAACAATTTCAATGTCAATGATCTTTAATAAAAAAATCTAACTAGCAAATACATTACTTATATGCATGTAATTATGTATTGACATACTTTTAAATTCAAATTGTGCTAATACATATTTTTGACATTTAGTAATAGAATAGACAATTGAAAATTGAATAGAAAATTTAAGAACTGTGAGCACTGAGTCCACTAAATGGTACCCTGCCTCCAATTCCTTTATAAAGACAAAGTCGATGTTTTGCTCTGGAATATCCGAAAAAATCGTCATAGCAAACAGTTAAATATGAGGTGCACAATGGCATTATGTAATAATGGCATTATGTAATTTTATTCAGTGGTATCCCACAGTAATTCTAGATTTCCAGATAAGAGATTGGTACCCTTCAATATTATAGAAAGAATGGCAGGTCAATGTTTGGGAAGCCCAAAATATGTGTCCGATCCAAAAAGGAGGTGCACAATTGCACTTTGTAACAAACATTCTGTGAAAGTTTCATTAAATTTCATTCAGTGGTGCAGGAGGTGCGGATTAGAGCGTTATAAGTGGACAGAGAGAAGGACGGATAGACAACTTGATCGCTATGTACCCTACCACTTTTCAAGCCGGATGTATAAACATTTTGAAGACAATGATGTGTTAAAGATAAAAGAAGCAAGATGATTTCTTTAAAAAAATCTTTTATAAACATACATGTGTATACACACAGAAATTTCATAAACACTTGTTTTTACTTCGTGTTCATTTTGCAAAATCTTCAGAAGTTAACTTGTTCGGTTCTATTTTCGTTAAAGTACTGCTGATTTTGAGTGTTTTTTTTTAAATCTATAAAGTAAATCAAGATGAAACGCAATGTTTCGAAAACATGAAAGTGTTTTTTAATAGCTAATTTTGTATTAATTGATGCTACTTTTATATACACAGGGAAACAATTGACAAAATTGATGCACAATGTGAATATAAATTTGAATAAAGTATAAATATTGAAGAAAAAGTTCTGAAAATAATAACACAATTAATAAAATAAATGAATAAAAAATGGGTCTTTAAGCAATACAAATATTAAGTCAATAAAACTATATTTCTCTAAAAATAAATTTAATAAGAACAAAATGAAATGAACATTTAAATTTACAAAAAATGGTCTTCATAATCTGTTCTTATAGTTTCTTCAGAAATATTTTAATGTATAAACATTTCTTTAAGGTACATGTAGTACAAAACATCCATGAAAATTAGTCTTTATCACTACAAAGTCAATAGAAACATTTTAATTTAGAAAGATATAACCCCCCCCCCCCCAAAAAATGCAAATTTTTTGCTTCAGATTTGACTTTGATTTTCAAGGACAAAATAGTTGTCGTTATTGGCCGCATCCGTGTGAGCATACACATCGTCTTCAGGTAAGACAACCCCCTCATTACTTCGTCCTGCATTTAAATGGCCGTAATCGTCTTCCGTAGTCTGACCAGAGGAACAAGAAGCATGGTTGTATACGTTCTCCGTTTTCTCATCCTCTTTTTCGTGAAGATGGTTGTAGACATCTTCTTCTTTCATCTTTGATGTTTTAGCCTCTTTAACGTTACTGTACGTAGGGGATTCCATAGACGGAGAGTAGGGTGGAACATTAACGACCTTTCGCTACAAAATAAATGACTATTTTGCATGCATCAGTAAATTATGAGGACATGCATTTACAAAATGTTGGAAAACTGGCAATAAACTTAAAATAATCATAAATATCAGTTTAAAAAAATCTAATTTGAATGACTATTCTTGAAACTTTTGATGAACAATAATTCTACGCAGCCACTTGACAACTTGTGATAAATTGTAGAGAAGAAAAGCAAATGAATCAAGATTCCAAACGTTATTGCAATTAAAGTGTACAAGATTTTTTTAACATCTGAATAAGCAGCAAAAACTTCATCAAACCACAGCATTGTTTAAAGCATAATTTTTTAAGTCGGATCTCTCAAAATATTTTGCTATTGTACCTAAATTTTCTTTTAGATACAAGATTCTTTTAGAACAGCTGATCTTAAATTTGCTAACACAAGCTTTGGTAGTTCATGAATAGTAGCATGCTAATGAAAGGGATAAATACTAAAATAAAACCCCTACTATGTTACGGACATGAATACAAAAAATAAAATGACTAAGGTTTTTGGACTTTCCAGTCCTAAGAAACATTAACAGTTCATTTCAATATTTTGATTAAATGAAGTCTTCATAGACATTATTTTCATTGATCACAAACTATTACATTAGAATCTTCAAAATGTATTTCATATAATACGATAAATATCACATTTTAAATAAATTATAAATTTCTTCTGCTCAAGTTTTCCCCCTGCAAGTAATCCTGAAATAACAGAATTGTTCATGTAAATTACAATTTCCTATGAAATTCAATATACATTGTGAATACCTGATACGTCTGTTCCGTAACTTTTGCTGATTGACTCGGGTTGTTTTCAGATATTGGTGCAATGTGGGCACTATGTCTGTCAAATTTTATACTTATCTCGTCACTATTTGATATAATAGAAGAAAAAAAAAACTTTTGAAAAATTAAAAATTATTATAATAGAATAAAAAAAATATATAAGACTGTGATGATTTAAAGATATTTAAACTCTTAGCCTAAGTGTACATTTGAGGACCAATCTTGAAACAAATGTTGCCTTGCAAAACGAACAGAACTGTGTTGCTTGTGAAGTAATTGATGTCTAATATTTCTACTCTGCATTTACTGTATTATAGTAACTGTTTCAATATTTTCATTAATACACAACACAGTTTCTTCCTTTTTTTTAGTATTGAGCGTAAAGTTTGGTTGAGGATATATACCACAAACAATTTTTCTTATCTTTCTCATAAAAGAGTTACACTACATATTTTCCTGAATTTGCGTGTTTGGTTCTAATTTCATTAAATCGGAAATTGTAGTTATTGTAAACATGTACCATGTGCACAGAACAAAGTCCGGGAAATTTTCTAGAAAGTCCAAATCTAAGCGTTAACGAGAGGTGTTTGATGGGGAAACAGACGCAGCGCAGTGTTCATGCAGACATTAGAGGAGACAACTCTTTCCTGACCTGGTTAAATTAATGTCATTTTCTGTGTATTTTTTTTATAGTTTTATTAGTGTCGAAAGGATTCCTAATTACTTGTTTGTTCTCAAATACCGTATAAGTGGAAATTTTAGCGAGTCGCAAATTTAGCGATTTGTCCTTAAAAACTGCTAATTTATTTTTAGCGAGATGTTATTTTAGCGATTTTAAAATGCACATTAAAGAAACTATAGCAAAAGAAATGCAATTAATTTTTAGCGATATTCAATTTTAGCGATCTCGTCAACCTCGCTAATAATGCCAAAATTAAATCCTCGCTAAAATTTCTACTTATACGGTATTACCATTCTAAAGACTCCATAAAAATATTAACATATTGCAGGATTGTTTGTAAACTTTTTACATCAATTTTTATCATTTCTTTCGAAATTGACTTCATTTGAAAGACAATAAGAAAAAAAAGTTTGTCTTCCATAAAATATTTGACCCATGATAATGACCTGCATACCTTTATAAAGACAAGCTCATAAAGATTGTAGAAAATAAATTGGAAACTTTTTAAGAAAATATGGTCAATACAATGACTCTGTCAACAAATACAATTGATCATTAAGTCAAATACAGACTGACGTTTTTCATACTTATTGTTAGTCCATCTTTTAACCCTGAACTGACTGACAACGGATTTTTTTGTTATTTTCTGATCATGACAAGGAGCACACGTAAGGTGTGACCGGTCAGCAGGGGATGCTTACTCCTCCATAGCACCTGAGCCCACTTCTGATGTTTTGGAGGCCTGTATTGCTCTGCCTCTTTTTTGTATTGTTTTATGGACTTTGAGATTGAATACAGTTTGTTATCTCCATATCCTTCAGTATTCAGATTTTTATAAAACGAGATTTAAAACGGGTAAGAATTGAAGAATTAACAGAGGAAATTAGGACTGGAATAATTAAAACGTTTATTATATTGTTTATTAATATTCAGGGAAATTATTCCATTTATATAAGATTTATTTTTTCAAAAGTCTCGCACGTTATATCTTGATTATAACAAAAATATCAGTAGAATATAAAAATTTTTATACTAGTATAATCCGGGAAATACTCAGGGGCCATAAGCATGAAAAGAATGTCGTTGTCTTTGTTACTGAAAATTAAATAAAACTCCACAATTTTAGATGTACAATGTGAAGTTATCAAAAAAAATTTAACGTCTGCGTATACGCTATTTAAATAACCGATATTAATAATCAATGTAACTTAATGTAAAAAAGGAGCAAAATTACCGTTTATGTATGCTGGCCATATATCTTCTGGATATTAAGTATGTAATGAGGGCACTTAATACTACTCCTATAAAGAAGCCTCCGAAAACAGCTCCTATTGTAGCTCCCAAACCATTTGCTACAAATTTGAAAATATAAACCGTCAATTATTTTAGAAGCCCTATCCCTTCCTCGGGGGGAAGAAAAAATGTGAAGAAGTCATAAACAAAGGAAACAGAGAAACAAACAAAAACAAAACAAAACATAACAAAACAAAGAAAAAAGAACTTCTATTAAACTACCAAACACTACATACACGTATGTAGAATTTTACATGTTCAGTTTGAAGTTTATTATCAGTTTTTAAGAGAACAATCTGGACCGCTTTGAAATATGTCTGATCTCTCGGTGTCTACTACAAGGTTAACAATTGATTTCTATATTATAGATATAGCGTTTAAGTTACCATTAGTAATTAAAATCACGATACATAGGAATTGTAAAATTTTGGGTTCTCCGGATCCGATCCCCGTACCTACATTAACTCAATTGAAAAACGTTAAGAAATTATAAAAACAAGGGCAAAATAAATTTAAGAACTACAACTAATTAAACAACCAAACAATATTAGTTACGACTGTAAATGTGTAATGTTTAAAAATTGAGTCATTCATGTACCTTGAATTATAAATTTTCGTTTAAATTAAGCAGCAGCTGTTGACCAACGTTGGAAGACGGAAAGGATCTAAATCATCTTTTTTTTTAATTTTAGCATATACACATGAGGATAAAAGCTTGTTAAACATTCTATTGATTTTGAAGTTTTTTCTTCAGGATTTCGTACATTCTATTTTGTATTTTCTCTAAAGCAAAAGTAGGTTACAAAACTCACAGATAATTCCTGTACGTGAATAAAAGCTGTTTAACGTTTTCTTTTTTATTTAATCTAGATCTCTTTCTCCCCCTTAGCTTTATGAACATCAAATTATTGTACCATCAATTTTTATGCAATTGATAGATTGTCCAATGTACAGTTTGTGTGAGTGTTATTTTAATATTTTAAGGGCTAGATATCAAAACAAAAGAAACATAAAAGAAAATCTAATTATCGTTAGAAAATAATTTACAGTAAACCATTCTTATAGTTACATCCTACACAAACTAATTCCCGTGTAAGGATACAACGATATTTTGTATTAACCATAGAAATATTCAAATTATAATAGTGTTTAAATATTTATGAAGTGAAGTGAAAGTACTAACCTTGTTCTTGATTTAAAAACATTTTGGCTACGTCATTTTCATTTATTTCCACTGAAATTATGATTAAGAAGTTATAATTAATATATAATTTTAAATTGGATAGTTTATGTGAATAGAAAACTCAAATGTGGAGCATGTATCTAAGTCTTTTTACAAACGAATTATGAAAGAAATATCCAATATTAATATTTTTTTATAATTATGCTATACTTACCTGGTTTACAGTAAGTCTCATTAACAGGTACGTGCCCATCTCGACATATACATGTTCCATTCTGACATTCCAAGTCTTGTACAGCAGTGCACTGTTCATATCGCTCACAGGTCTGGTTAATTTTAAGGTTTCCTAATTGTATTCATAAAAAACCCTCTCATTTATGTAATCCTTCATTGCCATTAATTATTGAAACAACATACCATATTTGGAAAAAAAACAATAAAATATTATTGGAAGAGTTACAAACCTTCTAAGCATTTTTCTCCAAACCCTAAATATTCTGATTTGCAAACGCATATCCCAACGTCTTGATTGCTGACAATACTACACTTTCTTGTTAAGTCTTTGCACGTTTGATTCCAGTAAAAACATACATTATCAAAATTCGATTCTACAAGTTAGAGTAACAAATAAATACAGTCATTTTTTCATAATTTGAAAAATATCACATTTAAGTTGAAAAAAGATTTTTAAAAAAGCAAACATTATTGCTGTCATTGTGTACCAGTTAAAACCTTTGAAATGCCGTACGATGCACGTGTAAATTAAATGCTCATCGATTCTTTGGATATATAGATGAAAGGATATATTAAGAATAATAAAAGATTTGAAAAAAGAAAAATATCCTGAAAAAAAAAACACATTTTAAAATAAATGTTCGTTAGTTGTTTTATCGTAGCTTTGTCTTAATTATTCAAATTTGCATTCTGAACCATAAATTAATTATCTGAAACACTGTAGAATAATTCTCGAAAGTTGTCCGTTTAAGTACCAATGTTGCGTAAATTTTGGCATAGAGGTCATTCAATGCAGACCTGACTCAAATCAAATTATGAAATATTGAGAGCTTTTGATCGAAGAAATGATTTAAAACAAGATTTTTAATGCATTTTCTCTATTTTATACAAGAAATATATGGAAATGCAGATAATTTATTCTTTTAAAGGCTATCACCAAAACTACACCTCAGTGTAAGTTAAGGTTGTTTGAGGACACAAATCATTGACTTCATGTTCATTGATACGGGTATTACAAAAATAAATCATGCTAAACAATGGCGTTTGCCCTATTTAGAACATTTCCAGAAAACAGTAATGTTGTGAGCAAGATATTGCTAAGTAGATGCAATGTGAAGGAAAGACCAAAAACTATTTAATCGTTCGTTTACATGAAATTCCATCAAACTTAAATACTTAAAACAGAACAAGGTCCCCGCTAAGCTACGAGAAGGACGTAATGAATATATAAATTTTATCAAATAAAATTTGTAAACTTTGAACTCAATCACTAGGTTTTTGAGCTGTAGGGCATACCGACAATATTATACATTTATTGACGGAGTTCGAGGGCAACATGCATATGTGTTTGTCGAACCCAAAAATCAAACTATCTTCCTGAGGTCGTTAGGCGCCAAATGTCACAGGTGGTGAAAAGTCATGTCTTAACCGGGACTCGAACCCAGGGACTCTGGCGTTCCGTGCTAGCGCTCTAAGTAAGGGATAACGGTTTATGGTCCCGGTGCGTTGCGTTCTACTACGGTCTGACACGGCGCACGCGGTCTGAGAGGAAGCATATAAAAGCCGGGCACTGCAGAGAAGTTTCATTATGGATCCATATGGATCTCCGCCTTCTCATCCGTCTTATTCGTCTCATTCCTAGTTGCTGCACGCCTGCCTTCCCTCTCTGTAACTGCTGCTGGTTCTCTTCATTTTGACGAAGTGATTTTAGGTATGCACCCAGCAAACACGCGAAAATAAAATCTTCGTCTTGGGAATTCATGATGTTTTATCTTCGAAGGGTCATGATACAATGATTGTTTCTGGTTAGGAGACCTTCTCTGGTACAAACGTGATCCATAGTTTCCCGGCGTCCATATTTCATACGTAGAAAGACTTGACAGAACGTGAGAAACGTATAAGAACTTCATAAGAACGCGAGAAACGAGAGGGGACCTATCAGAACGTAAGAGACCTGGGGGGGGGGACGTGCTGGCATACGTGGCAGAACCGTAGTGCGCCGTGGAGCCTCCAGCACACCACGGCAACTTCTTCCTACGGCCCATCACGGATTCCGTAGAAGACCGTAGAAGACCGCAAAAGAACTTGTCAAGACTTTGATATAGAGGGGAAAAATAACCAAAATCTCACGGCGCACTACGTTTCGGGCAAACGGGGCTGCCGGGAACATAGTGTAAACGTAGCATAACTGCTTCTGGTTCACTTCATTTTGACGAAGTGATTTTAGGTATGCACCCAGCAAACACGCGAAAATAAAATCTTCGTCTTGGGAATTCATGATGTTTTATCTTCGAAGGGTCATGATACAATGATTGTTTCTGGTTAGGAGACCTTCTCTGGTACAAACGTGATCCATAGTTTCCCGGCGTCCATATTTCATACGTTGAAAGACTTGACAGAACGTGAGAAACGTATAAGAACTTCATAAGAACGCGAGAAACGAGAGGGGACCTATCAGAACGTAAGAGACCTGGGGGGGGGGAACATGCTGGCATACGTGGCAGAACAGTGGTGCGCCGTGGAGCCTCCAGCACACCACGGCAACTTCTTCCTACGGCCCATCACGGATTACGTAGAAGACCGTAGAAGACCGCAAAAGAACTTGTTAAGACTTTGATATAGAGGGGGAAAATAACCAAAATCTCACGGCGCACTACGTTTCGGGCAAACGGGGCTGCCGTGGCTGCCGGGAACATAGTGTAAACGTAGCATTACAGAGAGGGAAGGCAGGAGTGCAGCAACTAGGAATGAGACGAATAAGACGGATGAGAAGGCGGAGATCCATATGGATCCATAATGAAACTTCTCTGCAGTGCCCGGCTTTTATATGCTTCCTCCCAGACCGCGTGCGCCGTGTCAGACCGTAGTAGAACGCAACGCACCGGGACCATAAACCGTAACATGCATTGACGAACCGCGATTGAACGCGAGGAAACGGCTACCATACACCCTAGTTTGCGGTGAAGACCGTGATGAAACGTGGCAGAACGTGATAAAACGGACAACAACCGTGAACTAGCCGTGACAGAACGCGGACTAAACTCAGCAAAACGTCTCAAAACGTGAATGGACCGTGAGATGAATGGAAATATACATTTTCCCGTCCCACTGCGGTTCCGTTACGGTCTATTACGTGCTGTCGCGTTTTGTTGCGTTTATTCGGTTTTACTACGACCTACTAAGTTTCACATCTGCAACAAATTAACGTGGCCGCCGTGGCAAATTTTTTGACAGTTTAAAAATCTGGCACGGCATCCACGGCAATCGCGATGAGTTACGTTTGCCCATCCCGTTGCCCCAAGTTTTCTCACACCCGCCCCGTTTTTTTCCACGGTGGCCTGAAACGTGATTGCCGCGGCTGCCGGGAACATAGTGTAAACGTAGCATAAATAAGGAGATGGTGTTGAATAGTTTAGAGAAAGCATTCTCTCCGAGGGCCGATGGCCCGAGGAGGAGATGTTTTCTTTAAACTATTCAACACTATCGAGTTATTCATCTTACTTAAAAAAATTCCCTACTTTGGGTCCCAAAGAAACATTCACCCATTCAAATATCCTACTTGCTGTAATACAATAGGATGTAGCCCATTCAAATATCCAACCGTGACACAAAACAATGTCCTAATCGATCACCCCTTTTATTCATTGACTAGTGAGCATGAAACTACATGTTGCTGATTTCATTTTAAGCCTTTTCATTGTACTGAACAGTCATGAAATCAGATGAAGACTATTTTAAATCCAAATGAACATGATGAATATAAATTACAGAGGTTCAGATAGTCTTATGGATACGTTTGACCTGAAAGCTGAAGAAAACTGCAGGATTTTTATAAAAGATTTGGATTTTGTCATTACAAATCATAAGATGATGGTTTGTTGAGGAAAAATGTTGAATTCTTATGGAGTACCATTCGGAAAATACTTGTAATAGTGCTTTAAAACAGATAAAAAGATTGGCGGTGTTAAACTGTTATGCTGAACCTGCTGTAAAAAAATCCATATCAAGATCTTCAATCAAAATGGTGTCGAAAAGTAGATGGGCTGTCAATTATTCAAGTTCTTCTCGGAAGTACGCCGGAAAAGAATGAAACAGGGGTGAATATCGGATAAATTGAAGGGATTTACGGATGACTGACCCTGAAATAATATTAAGCAATATGAGGTGATGCAGTTTAAGATTCAAGGTGAAAATGTGTTTATGTGTTTAAAGGTGATGGTTTCAAGATTTAAGACCGAAAACATTCCTAAAAGTGTGAAAAATTCGAAGGAATTGTTATTTCTGTGAGCATTGGAAGTGCATTTGAAACACAATAAATTTGAAGTTATTACGGTAATTCCGTGTGCACTGGAAATTAATTCTAATAGTGTGGCAAATTTGGAGTAATTATTTTTCATATGCATAGGAAATACATTTTAAAAATTGTTTTATCTCTTTTGTTCATTGTTTTATGTTTTCTGCACCTCAGTTGGGTATTTAAATATCCATCCAATGGGCAGTTGGATATTTTGAATATCCAATTGCCTGTCGGTTGGATATTTTGAATATCCAACTGATGGTCACTTGGATCTTTAAATTTTTTTTACTTACCTGAAAAAGTTGAGAAGCCAAAAAAAAAAAAAAAAGAAAAAGTTGCCCAAAGTCGAAAATCATATTTCGTGGGGTGGGGGGGGGGGGGGGATGCGGTAGGGGTAGAGGCTTACGTTTTTTCAGTGTTAACTACTTTCAGTACCAATTCTAATGCTTCATTTTCGGTACATCACTAAAGTTGGGGGGCCAACCAGGTTTTCAATTAACATTTCCTACAGTATAAGTAAGGTTGGGAAAAAAAGTGGGCGGGCCAGGCCCCCCCTGGCCCCCCTGTTGCTACGCCCCTGACATAATAACTCTTACACTGGCTTTTACAAGTTCTCATTCCAGTTTTACTAAAGGTCGTAACTCAAAATGTAACTCAAAGTGTAAACGTAAATGCAACTTACGCCAATTTTGCGTTTGATTTGTAACAATATAAAATATTTATTGTCCAAGGATAGGGCTAATCTGCGCATCACCCAGTTACACAGATATTCAGAAATAATGAGATTTATTTTTTCCCCAGACTTAAGGTCAAGATCAAGTAAATGACTTTAGACTAATTCTTTGGTGCTATATCCATTATGACGTCATAATCTATTTCGACTTTCATTTTCCTGTACTTTGTGCTATAATAGAATTATGTAGAAAATATAGTATTTTGATGAAATTCAAATTGAAATAACACGAAAATTAGTTCTGATACCTATATTGAATTTGACATTATTTTATAGAAGAGGCCCAGAGCTTACACATTACCTTTTACTGTAAGACTGTAGGCAATCTGGATACATTTTCTATG